GTGTTTGGCATTGGAATTGCAGTGGGTGGTTGCTAGCTGCAAAAGTGTGAACAAATGTTATCAGTGCGCTGGAGGGACAGACGCGAGGTAAATATGTTGACAATTATTCACACCGGTGCCATGTTGGACCGTGGCAAAGTGAACTTTGCAACAAGGTTGCCAATATATAAACCTGATTGTGTTATTGACTGCAATGTAAATATGAGGATAGTAGTTAATAAATGTGACATGATGGTTGGTGCCATCGAGTGCATGTGAAAATCTGTGAAGTGGACGAAGGAGTTCTTTTTTCACCTCATTGATGTTGCAGTGCTGAACTGTTTCAACATGTATCTCGTGAAATCTGACAAGAGACTCCCAATACGTACATTCAGTGTTGCTCTAGTGTCACAACTTCACTTGAAGTATGGAGTGGAGGGCTGTGTTGCAATGCATGGGGTGCCAGCAACAATGCCTCATGCAGTTCCTGACAGACTCAGGAATAATGAACACCTTGCTGTACACAAGCTTAGTTATATGCCAGGCACAGGCACATGGGATAAGGGTAAACGTGCCTGCGTTGTTTGCAAGAACATGCAATATAGGGAACGCAAGCGAAGAGCCATCTGCACCAGGTGCGTTGAGCGCAAAGTTCCCCTATGCCCCGTTGACTGCTTCACTGATTATCTCACACTCGCGCAGTTCTAAGTGTGTTGATAGGGGATGTATATAGTGTGTGATAGTGTACAGTGTGTAAATAAGTTATAAATTTACATACTGTATTTGAACATGAAATATAGAAAATATAGTCAATGTTTGTGGACACATTTGTGATACATGTAACAGTGTCTTGGAACAGTACGGATGTTCTACTGCCTGAATATTGTAAACGTGTTCAATATACATAGGATTAGCTAGAAAAAAAATATGAATGCATTTGTAATTGTGCAGAACAAATAAACAAAAATATATTTGTGGCAACTTGCGCTTGTTGAATCTTGCATGCGACTGCGTCCGGGAGTCTACGGCACAGGCGACCACCAAGCCGTGACGTCACACTATATTTTCCGGACACCACTGCTGCCAAAGTAAGTACATTTATAAAAAATTTCAACATATATGTGATCAAGGAAGGGTATTTAATACTTTTGGAAGGACAAACAATTTTTTGCGAAGATTTTATTTTCGGCGCACCACGGGTTTGTTATATTTTAAGGCAGTGCAGTGGTTAAGCCAAACACTTGAAATATTATAAATAGGCCTATTTTCCAAATATTAAAATATTTGTTAAAATTCTGTTTATTGTCCTATTATCTTGGGACTAGTTTTAAAATGCGCGCCTTTCTATTGCGAACAATTTGATACCAAAATGAAAGATGTAACACGAATATTTATGTCAGAACACTGGAAAGTTTTAAATAAATTTGTGATGATGAGCATCCAGAATTAAAATATTTGTTAAAAATCCAGTTATTGCTCTATTATTCTGGGACTAGTTTTAAAATACTCGCCTTTTTATTGCGAACAATTTGATACCAAAACGAGCGACGTAGCACGAAATTTGATGTTATCAAATTGAGCGAGTTGAACATTAGGTTGCAATGTACAAAATGGTGCTCGTTCACGGGTAACTTTAGGCTTTTCTGCGGGGAGGCACTCCAGCCTTTTGTACATATTATTCATACACATCTGTAGGGAATTTAATTGCGAACACAATGATACCAAAATGAGCAACGTAGCACGAGAATTAAGGTAAAAAAATGGAACGAGAATGCACATGTTACTGATTTTGTGCGTTTTTGCCGACTTTACGCTTTGCTGTTGGGAGTCACGCTAGGCTTTTGGACATTATATTTATACACACCTGTAGAGAATTTAATTGCGAACACAATGATACCAAAACGAGCGACGTAGCACGAGAATTAAGGTGAGAAAGCTGGAACGAGTATACACATTTGGGTGTCACCGCACGCTTACCCGCACGGAGGGGCCACGTTCCCCCTGTCAACCGTGAGTTTCCACGGAGCGCGAAAGTGTTAACCATACAAAGAAGGAATAATTTAAACAGGGAGATTGAACAAATCAAACAGAGACTGAAGCATTCATATCAGATTAAAGAAGGCAACTAGAACAAAGTAATTCGAGAAATAAAGAAGAACCCAAAGTATTTCTTCACATTTGCAAAATTAAAAGCAAAAACCACTGCTAGTATTGGACCTATTCATACTAGTGAAGGTTCATACACTGAGGATGACAAAGAAATTAGTGAAATAAAAAAATATATGAGGACATGTTTAGCACTCCAATAAACAGCATGAAAGTGGAAGATCTGGACAACTTCGTTTTGCGAATGTTAAATCTGATACATCTGATATGAGAATAAGGAAAAGCAGTGGTGCAAGGACTGTACCCTGAGGTACAGAGCTTTTAACTGTGCAAAAAAAGCCACAGATTTGCCAATACAGTAGTAGGACAGCAGCATGTTAAGGATTTGGGAATGATGTCTGACAACCAAACATTTAGGGGAGCATAACCTAGCAAATATTGCGTTAGCCAGAAAAATGATAGGATGGATTACGAGAACTTTCAAATCCAGGGATCCCATCACAATGATTGTATTCTTCAAATCACTTGTACTGTCCCATCTTGAGTACTGCTCAATACTAACTTTTCCCTTCATAGAGGAGAGATTACTGAATTAGAAGGAGTACAGAGAACATGTACGGTATACATAGACGCGATAAAACACCTAAATTATTGGAATCGTCTTTAACACTTAAACTGCGCAACGCGCCTGCAGGCCCACGTCTGGGGTATGCAAAGTGCCTCTGGGTATTTTTATTTTTAGCGTTCCATTCAAACCTCCCGCGGCTACATGGGGGTTCACATCAGCTTCCCCAGGGCTCTTGTAAACAGACGCCATCTTTAAAAAAATTGTGGGCCACATTCCCGGGTGTGAGAGCCTCAGTACTGAGTGAGCAACCAAGGCCGGCGCACACAGCATGAGCTCACAGCACTGCTGTTCAGCGTGTGACCACAGCATTGCCCAATAATGTCAAAATATATATGTAACTTGTATTATTTGGCAATGATAGTATTACAGGAGAGCCTGAGTGTGATAATGACTGTGTACAATGTTCAAATATCAGTGATTCAATGATGTTCACGATGTTCACAGCGCTAGCCACAGCATTATTTCGTCCATCTAGGAATCTTCAGATGACTTCCTAGGTTCCTTTACAAATTAAACTTTGGTCAGTTATTCATTTACAGGATTTAGTGACCTGTATTGTGATAACAGCAGGATTGTGGTGATAATTAGCACTGTGAGTAGAATTGTGGAATGAGGAATTGTGGTGAGGAGGGAGGGAGGGAGGGAGAGAATCGAGGTAACCTCACTGTGTGTGACAGCCACTCTTATTTTGCTCATCATACCAGCTTAGTGGTTTGCTGTGGTGAACACATATGTAGAAGGATATATACAATGTGTGTATATACCCATGTGCATATGTGTGTAGTATTATGGGAGGAGGAATTGTGGTGAGGGAACGTGGGAGAGAATCGAGGTAGCCTCACTATGTGTGTGGCAGCCACTCTTGTTTTGCTCACCATACTAGCTTAGTGGTTCGCTATGGTGAAGACATTTGTACATGTACATTTGTACATTTGAAATGTTTTTTCACCCTGATGCCCCTGTTATCTAGCAGTAAATAGGTAACTGGGAGATAGACAGCTGCTATGGGCCACTTCCTACGGGTGTGTAACAAAAAGGAGGACTGGTTGAGGACCTGGTCACGCGGATGCTAAGCGCCGAAATCATTTCAAGATAACCTCAAGAGAAGATAGCCTGCTCTCCATCCTCGTGCCCATGATGTTTGGATGTTTGCTGCTTTGGCTGCTGTCTTCGGCGGCAGATCTTGGGCTGTTATTCGGGAACGACGATTTTGGAACATATAGGATCCTGGCCGCCCGATATTTGGTTCACATTCCTGGTCCTGGGCATTCGTGTGTTACTTTGGGTTGCAGGTTGCAGCCAGTTATCTCGCTTTCAATTTGAGGAGTGTGTGGCGGCTGCCTCCCGGGTGTGTGTCCCTCTTTTACTTATCCTTGGTTATGTAGCTCCAGGGAGCTGAAGGGGCTCTCCACAGAAAACCAGCGTTGAATGTAATGAAACCTCATTTTCTGGGTAAGGCCCGGAGGCTCCCTGGCACCCTCCCTCCCTCCAGTCGGCTGTTTTTGTGTTGTTTTGGTGCTTAGCCTCCGAACTGGAGTTGCTGGGTTGCCGGGGTGGGGTGGGGGGGGGACTAGATGCACGGACAAGCGACATGACAGCGTGGTGTGCTATTTGCTTGTTTCGTTGGAAATTGTGGGAGTTCAACCTCTCTGTTCGGCTTTCATGTGCACTTTTCTTACCTTGTGGAGTCTGTTTTTTTTATGCCTACCCCTCTGAGTTCCTAACCCTGGTTGATGGCAAATAAGGTAAATCCCCAACTAAGGTTTTTTTTCCAGGGCCATTGCTCCCGGCACCTCTCTGAGGGGGGCCAGGTTCTGGCTAGTGGTCCCCGTTAGGCAGAGCTCCATTGACTGAAGCCTTGGTCTAATGTATCGCATATTAGCTCGATAGCTCCAGGGAGTCTATGGGGCTCGCCCAGAAAATGGCGTTTCATTACATTCATCGCTTTTTTTTTCATACCAAAGTAGAGAGCACAGTACTGTAATTGGAATTGTAACTGTTTAATATCATGCTGCTTTCTGTTAACCATCGGAAGACCTTGTTGATATCTGATTACAAAAAATTATTTTTCTTTACAAAATTTTTAAAATTTCTTTAGAAATTTTGTAATTTCTTTAAAATTTACGAAAGTTGGTTATAATATTGTTTTCAAGGATTGCTTTGCCTTGAATGCAGAAATTAACATTCTGTATTAGCTAAAGTTAAGTGACTTGTGCAAATTAGACATACTTAAATCCTGTTAAATTACAATTCTTGAACATTAACATACTATCATTTGTTTTTCTAGACAATCGACTTTACAAGATATTCCGTGAAGGCTTCTCTGGGGTTTGCTCATTGGCATCGAATTTCACTTTGCGATCCAACAGTGAGCTGGTCATGGTGGACACATCACCATCCAAAAATGTAAGCTTTTTACCTCTTTGTTTATTTGTTTGTGTTAATTAATACAGCGATACTTTTGTATTAACAAATATTTTTTCCTCGTGATACAGAAATTGCTTACTTGCAGTACTGTAGAAGTTCGCTTATCCGAAACTAATTTGCTAATCCGGAAAACACCCTAATCCGGCCAAAATCGCCTCCGTTAAATGTTTTATCTCTATCCGGATGACTGGAGATTTGTCCGAATACATATAGACAGGCAGAGAGTTTACGGTATATGCTGGCATATAAGTCAACATTTAAAGCTTAAAAAAATCTCCAAAACCAAGGGTTGACTTGCCACTGAATATAAAATATGAACCTTTACCACTGAGAGATAAAAAAATTCGATGGGCCTAACGAAACGAAACGACGGGCCTAACGAAACGACGGGCCTAACACTCGTTTTACACCAACACCAGTAGAGTCAGGTTTTGGCAGGTAAGCTGGAAGGCTTCAGGCAAGCAGAGAGTCTGGAGTGGGTATGGGTATGATGGGTGTAGGTGTGGTGGGTCTTTGGATATTGTGGCGGAATGTATACCAGATACAAGTCTTTCTTGCATTAACCATAGCTAGGGGGAGGGTGGCGGTCAGGGAGGGTAGGGTCTCAGAAGGGTGGGAGGGTCGGAGGTGGCACAAGAATTGTTGAATAATATTTTTTTATTTTTACCATGGAGAGCTAGTTATGAATATTAAATAACACACCACAACATAATATTAAGGTGCATATTATGTTGTCGTCATCTTGCAGCACAACCCCCACGTGCTGTCCTCATGGGAGTGAGTTGGGAAGGGGGTGAACAGGAAAAAGATATGTGTGTGATCTCTGTCTGTCTGTCCAGTGTTGTGTCTTGTCTAGCAGTTTGTACTCACCTAGTTGTGCTTGCAGGGGGGGGGGGGGGTTGAACTCTAACTCTGAGCACAGACTGCGCCAATGTCTGTGGCACAGACTGTGCAGCATGACAGCCTGCCTTACCAAAAGAGATGGGAAGGGGAGAATGGGAGCATAGGTAGGGAGGAGAATTGGGTGATGACATGGGTTGGGAAGGTGATGGGTGGAGGGAAGGCAAAGGTAGGGTGCGGGTATATGCAGGTACTGTATAAGTAGGGTCACCCTGCCTGTGTGGCCACATGCCTGCTTGCTCGCCCGCCCATCCACCTGTTCACCTACCTGCCTGCTCGGCTAGACCTGCCTGTTTGTCCACCCACTTATGTATTCACCCTCCTGCCTGCTTGCCCACCCATCTGCCAGCTACCAAGCCATTCTTCCTGCCATCCACCCACCTGCCAACTACCAAGCCCATCTGCCTGCCATCCACCCACCCACCTGCCAACTACCAAGCCCATCTGCCTGCCATCCACCCACCCACCTGCCAACTTTAAAAGAGTAAAATTACTGAAATCAACAAGTGATCCATACAGTGAAGCACAAACACAATACAATACATCAGACAATGGAGATGTGTGGCGAGTGTTTGGAAGTATTGGGAAGATGTACTGTTGGCGTCAAGTGTTGCATCTGTAACATAAGATTTCACCTGGGCTGAGCAGAATTATCTTCAGGATGCACAAACAGGCAAGGAATTTACTGGGTTTGCATAGATGAGAGGTTAATGTGGGAGAACATAACTAAACTGATGAAAAACATTCCCGAGTCACAGCGATTATCATTCACATAAAAAGCTACCAGTGATATATGCGGACTGGGAAAAGAAAACATTGGATAACGACCAAAACTCGGGAACAGGTAGTTTAAAGAACTGCAGCAGTAGTGTGGAGGAAGAGGGTATTGTGGTACAAAACAACAGCAATATTGCAGAGCCAGGTAATATAAACAATGAAAACAACAGTGAGAATGAGTGCATAAATGAAGGAATTGAAATGAAAGATGGAGATGGCTCCAATAAAGAGGTAGACAAGACAGGCACAGGGGTAAATACCTTGAAAAATGTAAAAACTGAAAATATTTGCAAATTCTATGCTCAAGGAATATGCAAATATGGAAAATTAGGAGCAAAAATGCAATTTTCTGCATCCTCGAAAATGCAGGAACATGTTGGCGAGGGGGTACATGCCGTTTTGGAACAGGGTGTAGATACTTCCACCCTAAATTGTCAGTTTTCAATTAGGGACAAAAATTGCTACAATCTTCAGTGTCCGGAATTCCACGTGAGAGGTACACAGCGTTATAGACGGGAAGATCAATATGACACTACTGGAAATTTTTTAGAGGAAGACAGAAACAGAGTAGAAAATATAAGAGAGGAACAGTCAGATGGAACCACTACAGGATTACAGAGGGGAACGGAGATACCCACAAGACTGGAATACAAATTATCAACAAGCACACAGGTACTACACCACACAACACCCGTCCTACTACTAAAACTGGACGAACCACTTCCAAAACAACACAATCTGGACCTGGGTAGAGTGGGGGGAGAACACCAAAGCCCACCAAAAGTGACACGCAATGTGGGAAATCATTCATATTTGCAAACATACAAGGCTTGAAATCAAAATCAAGAAATAAAGTTAAGTTCATAAATGGCCTAATAGAATCAAACTCAATACTTGGTGCATTTACAGAAACCCACACAAAAGACCACATGGATAGTGAAATCTGGATTCCAAATTATAATCTATATAGATGTGACAGAGTAATTAGGTCAAGTGGAGGAGTAAGTCTGTATATTAAAGAGGAGCTGGCATGCACAGAGCTCCTGAACTCGTCCAATGAGGTGATAGAGGTACTTGGAATCAAGGTAGAAAATATTAATCTACTTATTATTTTAATATACAAACCGCCAGTTGCAACAGTTGAGGAATTCACTGAACAGATCCACAAAGTAGAAAATATCCTTGATAACCTAGCAAACCCAGGACCAGATATTATCTTCCTTGGAGACTTCAATCTACCCAGTTTAAAATGGAGAATAGCAAACAATAACATTATAGCAGGAAATCAACCTGAAAACAACCAACCACAGGTCAGAGAACTACTGAGATTCTGTGACAAATTCTCGCTCAGTCAGCATATTACAGAACCAACTAGGAATGAAAACACGCTGGACCTGATATTCATGAACAATGATGAGCTAATCAGAGAAATTACTGTCTCAGACACTATGTACTCGGACCACAAGCTCATTGAAGTGCAAACTAACATTAATAACGGTAGTAGGCCCAGGAGAAACAACAAGCGAGAAGGGTTATTCAATAAATTCAAATTTAATAATAAAAGAATAGACTGGGAGAAAATAAACAGGGAACTTACAAACATTCAATGGGAATATGTTCTAAGAAATAAAAATCCTACACAAGGAATAGAAAAACTGACTTCTGAAGCATATGAAGTCTGTCTGAAACATGTTCCTTTGAGGAAAGCCAGAAAGAGGTCAAATGTAGAAAGAGAACGCAGACGACATTACAAAAGAAGAAAGAAATTAACGGAAATGCTGAAGCAGACACGACTCCATACTGTGACGGTAACGCGTTGGTGTTCGGCTGTTTAAGGCTAGGGGTATGGCCTCGTCACATAGTTATAAAAAAAAATAGAAAAACTGGAACTTCGTCTGTGGTAAGGTAAGGAGAAGACACACAAAACACAAGTAAATTTTAACAATGAAATTTCAATTACGTTAAATAAATCAAAACATGAATAAAATGGACAAACAAATTCTTATAATAAAATCAATCAATCAAAAATAATAAGAATAATTAAATGACACAATGAAAAGTTACGTTAAGACAAAATAACAAGAAGTGCAATACAAAAATAAATGTGAGGTGCTGGAATATTGGCTTTAAGCTACCACCTCTCTCAGTACACGCTAACGTCTAGCCGGGAGAAGTGTTAACTGTGGAAGCACTGAATATTCTGAGGTCTGAGGTCGTGGCGACCCCAGACATCAAGTAGTATCGGGGGGTCGAGTGCAGGTGCAGCCAGACCGGCGACCAATCAGCGGAGCCGGTAGTAAGACAGGTAGTTTGGCGGTTTGAGTCTGAACAGGTGGCCCTGGCTGCATACGTTTTGCGCTCTGGCAAACCTTGGAGATGTTGTCGTTGTTGGACATTTCTTCCCTAGTAGTTATATATATTTGTTGCGACGTATTTGTGGAGGGAAGAGCAGGCTCAATCTCTTGAAGGAGATTACCGTCACAACTCTCCCCCGAAGCCTGCGGTTCTGGAAGAAGTACGTCGTTATGTGGTGGAGTAATGGATGGAGTTGCTTCTACTTCATAAACTCTGGAGAGATCATGGGCTAAGATGTTGTCAGACTCTTGGTATAGCGTGTCTCCAGGTTGAATTTCTGCAGGTAGCAAGCCCATAGTAGAAGACGTTGAGATGAGAAGTGGGCGTGCTGCAGGAGGTGTAGGGTGGTGTGGTCCGTATTGATGGTGGACCGAGCACTTTTCAGGTGTGGAGTGAAGTGCTGAAGCTTCAGGATGAGGAAGAGTAGCTCCTTGCCAATTGTTCCGTAGTTCCTTGTAGCAGTAGTCGCTGACAGGTGTATTCTTCTCGCCTCGTTGCTGCATCACGACACCACCAACGTCGGTACCCCTGGCGTCGACATGGAGGATGAAGGGCTTATCTGACGAGGTGAGAGTGGAATTAGAATATGGCAAAGGAGCACGATTATTATCCTGAAAGCATTTGGGAAGATCATTAAGGATTTCGGAATTAGAAAGCGCTGACTCCTTGTCAGTGCTTTCGGGAGGAGAAGCTGGGAAGGTCTCACTGTGGATGTAGGGTTCTGTGAAGGTAGAACAATTAGTCAGGACAGTGGGAGGAGTACCATTATATTGCTTCAGGAGGTTGACGTGGCACAGCTGGGTCTTCCGCCGCCTATCTGGAGTCTCTATTACGTAGTTGTTATTATTCCTGCACTCTTTGACGCAGTAGGGTCCTGAAAACCTGTTTTGTAAAGGTGAACCTGGGATAGGGAAATAGGCAAGGACGAAGTCTCCCGGCTTGAATTT